TTTATTTATTTATTTATTTATTTATTTATTTAGACTTTTCAAATTCTCAAAAGAACACAGGGCCAGAGATTCTCCAGTGATATTACTGTTTACATTAACATTTTTTGTGTTTTTCCTTTTTCTTTCTTTTTTTCCTCTGAGACAGGGTTTCTCTGTGTAGCGTTGGCTGTCCTGGAATTCACTCTGTAGACCAGACTGGCCTCCAACTCAGAATCTGCCTCTGCCTTCCAAATGCTGGGATTAAAGGTGTATACCAACAATGTCCAGTGTGTGACTTTTTTTTTCATATCCATGTATTGATTAACTAATATTTTTTTGGTTAGCTTGTTAGTTATTGTTATTGAGACAAGGTCTCATGTAGCTTGTGACCAGGCTGGCACTCCTGACTACCTCCTGTGTTCTGGGACTACAGGCTTTGGTGTAATGCTGGGGACCGAACCTTGGGCTTCATGCATGCTAGGCAAGCCCTCTGCCACCTGATCTCCATCCCTAGCCTCTTATGAAAAAAAAAAAAGGTTTTTTTGGTCCATGTTTCCTGTGACTACCCTTTTGGATCACAGACCCTCTAGTTAGCTTTTCCCCCTCTGTCAGAAATGAGGCTACTGAACCCTCACTCCATGTGTCTCTCAGGATAAAGAATTGATGGGTGACTGCACACGGGCCACAGTAGAGAAGCAAGCCCAGCTCCTCCTCCATGCAACTGCGTGGTAAACTTACGATTATATCTAGTGCTCACTGACCCTCAGCACTAGATAGCCCTGGCTAACTCAGGGTGCAGAACCCCCTGCCATCTCCCCAAACTCAGAAGCCCCTTTGTCTTGAGGACTTCAAGGTCCTGGTCATGCTCTACATGGCAGCTCTCTCCCCCAGTGGAGCTCCTCTTCAGATCTGAAAGCTCTCATCCCTTGGTGGATAGTTTATGTCAACTTGACGCACACTAAAGTCATGTGAGAGAGGGAACATCAATTGAGAAAAATGCATCCATAGGCAAAGCTCTGTGAGTTCGAGGCCAGCTTGGTCTACACAGTAAGTTCCAGGACAGCCAGTGCTACACAGAGAGACCCTGTCTCAAGAAACAAAAACAAACAAAAAACCCAACCAAGCTGTAGGAAGACTGTAGGGCATTTTCCTAATGATTGATGAGGAAGGCCCATTTCATTGTGGGTAGGGCTACCCTTGGGCTGATGATCCTGGTTCTATAGGAATGTAGGTTGAGGAAGCCAGTTAGCAACACTCCTTTGTGGCCTCTGGATAAGCACCTGCCGTTTGAGTTCCTGTCCTGACGTCCCTCATTGATGAACTATCACGTGGATGTTTAAGTCAAAATCCTTTCTTCCCTGGCTTGCTTTTGGCCACAGCGCTCCTCACAGCAGAATCCAGACTAGGAATCCCCTCTCCTTATCCTTCCCATTCCCAGTCAGGGCTCCCTTTCCAAGCAGAGCTTCTGAAAGGTAATTGTGTCAGCTCCTTTTTGTGAACCTGATGTTCTTAACACTTAACACATCCTAACTGCAACTGGTATCACTTTCCTAGGTAGAGCTATAAAATGAAAAGAATAAGAATAGTTTGTTCTTATTAAAACCTAGGAAGACTGGATGGTTGTAAAGAGCCATGAGCCTGAGACCTGCGGAGGCATTACTAAGAATCACAGAAAACTCAAGGCTGTTTAAAGAAATGTTTTCACTACATGATTATTACTGTTAAGTCAGTACCCCGATTCTCCTTTCAGACAGATGAATTCTAAATGAAAAGACTTTATTAGGAATTGTGCCACCCTACCACCCCCACCCTGCTTCACAAGACCTTTGGATCTCATTCACATCTTCAGAGGGACCCCTGGCTTGATGGGGAAGGCCTAAGCCTTTATACAGTCACACACTGACAAAAATCTTTTTTCCATGTGGACAGCTTCTCCTCAGTGTCCCTCTAACAGTATCAGGTGATGGGCAACAGGTTTGGGCTGAGTCCACCAGAGGGAATTAGAATGTACACTAAAGGAACAGGAGGTACAAAATTTAGCCCTACTTCTGAAGAGCACTCCTTGGACTCACAATCAACTGCAGGCAACCCTGGGAGTCCTGTGCTAAAGACAGAAGGGCCATATAGTGCTAGGGACCCGTGTGGTGATAACAGGAGTCTACCCCATCTAGAGAAGCTCACACTGAATCAGAGGACAAACATCTTGGTAGAAATGGATGACTGTTAAGGCACTGGTATCCTGACATTAAAGACCATTAAAGATCATTAGCACTTAGGTCGAGGCTCTGAATTCAGTGCTCCAATGTGCTTTGCTGCCTGGACTGAAAACACTGGCCTCAGGGAGGGGATATCCTTGTAAACATCGTAGGTAGGATTGCCTTACTTGCTAATGTAGAAAATGTGAACCTAGGAGATCAAATCCCACCAGTAAGCATGGGGCTCCAGGCCTCCACTGCAGTGTGCTCACATATGGTCAGAGAAGGGTTCAGGGCATGGCTGCTCTGCTCTGTGGGGACTAGAGTGAGCAGAATGCATGATTAGCCTCCACTGATTATAAACAGCCTTTTCCAATTGGCCAACTATACTGGACAAGTAGCACCAGCTTCAGTCTGAGGTAAGCTAACAAAGTTCGAGAACAATTTTGTAGAACCACCTTGCCTCTCTCCTCCTGTCCTAACACGGTGGTCTCGGATTCAATCGTCAAGCTGCTACGTATTTCCCATGAAGATTCTTGAAGTGGAAACTTCTAGTTTCTTTGGAAAGTTAGTTATGTCAAATGATGTTTTGCTGGGGTACCCAGGTGAAAGGATGTCTTGCTAAAGCAGACATGTGAAAAAAAAATGTTCCTGAAGCAGACACAAGCGAAAGGATGTTTGGTTATATAGCAAACATGTGAAAGGCCACTTGATGAAGGAGTATAAATACGACCCCACAGCCTGTGGGGGATGAGCACTGAACACTGTTTGGCTTGCCCCACCTCGCTATTCTTCCCTAATACACATGTACTGGTTTGTCTTACATAGCATTGTTGAGCTCAATTTGTGGTAATGCTGTCATTGAGAAAAATTTGCTCAAGAACTGCTGGTGAGGTTCTTGCTGCAGATTGCTACTTCAGCGGCCTAGTCTCAGGCTGGTTGGCAAGCCTGGCTGTTTCTTCAGGATTGAACTACAGCTGGTGTCTGCCTGCTGAAAGGACTGGATTGTAGCTGCTGGTTCATGCCTAGTGTCTGCCTGCCTAGAGGACTGGTCTGCAGCTGCTGTGTTGTATTTGGTGTTTGCTATGGGACTGCTGCCAAAGATCAAGCTCATCCCTAAAGAACTATTGCCGAACAGGTCCACTTCCCCCTGTATCCTAGTAACTTTTCTCTTCCACTATCTCTGTTGGGTGGTGGGCTAGGAGAGAGGTTGAACCCTTATTATAAGTAGGTTGCAAAAATTTATGCCTACAGATTCTGATATGGACATTGTGATTGTTGCTATGGTAAACAGCAGGCATACTTAAGGAAAAAAGAACTAGCAAAAAAGCTATCAGGTAAGGTTAAGTGGGTGGGAAGGTAAGACTGACTTTAATAATTGATTACATCACTGTACTTCAAGCTACAAATGCTGAGCTTGGGAGCACTTGTAAACATCTGCCCTTCCTGAGTGTTACTAAACTGCTCTCACTTGACTTGAAGATATCTCGGATCTCCAAAGGAATCAGAAGTCCTCAACACTTTCATCTTACAGCTTGATTTTAAAGCTCAGCCACTTGAGACATCAAAATCTCTTAATCTTAAATTATGGCAAAAACATCTTAAATGTGTCTAAGAACTTTGGGTTAAAAAAAAAAACACCTCAAAACACAAAATTTTTAACAAAACCTGAAACTACGAGGGGGGAAAAACAGCAAAGAAAATCATCAACATGAAAATATGAATGAGATTGCAAAGGATGGAGTCTGAAAATACTTCTGAAACTGAAGACTGAGTCAGCCTACTTTTTATTTTTTTTAAGAGCCAGAGCTTTGTGTACCTCAGGCTGGTCTCCAACTATGTATCTAGAATGGTCTTGAACTTCTGATCTTCCTGATTCTATCTCCTCAGTGCTGGGGACTAAACTCAGGTCCTCATGAATACATGCTAGGCAAGCATTCTACTGTGGCAAAACAAAGTGAACTAAGCTATCTAGGGTTCTAGTCAACAAGTATGTGTTAAACTCCCTGTGTCAGCTGCTGGGATGACAGTGACAGATTAGGTTCCTCTTCAGAACAGCAGGCATTTACAGACAGTTGTGAAGCAGGGATGTCCTCCGGCTGTAAGTGACTGCAGTATCACGATGGTAGCAGCCGCATGGCAATGACAGGGAGACGTGGAACTACGAGAACTTATAATCAAGCTTTAGAGTCTGAAAAGGGAGATACCTCAAACTTTCTGAATTACCATCGATATAAAACAATTGTTTGAGAAATGAGAACATTTTAGAAATACTTGTTATCCCTTCCACTTTAATGACATCATTTTGATGTAATATGAATGGAAATGTTTAGGCCTCCTTTTTCTCTATTTACGTATGTGGAATGTACACATTGCTTGTGTGTGTACCTGTGGAGACCAGAGAGGCATTGGATCCCCTGGAGCTGGAGCTACGAGCAGTTGTGAGCTGTTGGGTATGGGTGCTAGGAACTGAACTCAGGTTTTCTGGAAGAGCAACAAGTACTCTCAACCATTGAGCCATCTCTCTAGCTTTTTCTTTAAACAATGAAAAAATATCTTAAAATAGTATTTTGTGTGTATGTTGTGGAGGTCAGTAAGTGACTTTTACAACATCATGACTTTTTCCTTCCATTATGTGGACATGGGGATTGAACTTAGGCCTTCCGGTTTGGTGGTAAGCACCCTTACTCACTGAGCTAGTTCATAGGCCTAGGCCCATTTCTTCTAATAGTTTAAGTTTTAGACTAGAATGCTGTGATGAGGCTTAATATTGTAAGCTGAATGTATATATATCGACATCTCAGTAAAGTAATAAAATACTAAAGCTCCAGTGAATACAAAGCTACCTTTTATTTATAATGAGGCACATTCTGAAGCACTACAAAGTCAAGCCCTGAGTCAAACCAACTGAGCCATCAAATTTGTTTCATAATAGAATTTAAGCAGTTGCTCTCTAATCTGAGTAAAAGACAAAAGAGCACTACTACTATGTTCTCTTGCTTTTAATTTCAAATGACAAAGAAATTCATGTTTTAAACATAATTTTGGAAGATCAATAACAATGAACCAAGCCCTTAATGTAAACAGAAATATATGTGGAGAAGGAAGATGAAGGGTAAGGCCACCACTCTGTATTACTTTTGTAACCTTTTGTGAATTCAGATTATTAAAAACTAAGTTTTGCTAGACATGGCAGGACATGTCTATAACCCTGGCACACTAGAGAGGCTGAGGCAAGGCCAGCCTGGGCTACATAGAAAGTTCCAGGTTTGCCTAGGGGCACAGAGAAACCTTTAAAAAAGTTTTAAGAAACATGTTTTGGATGTATAGACATAAACCAAATAAACTCATCTTAAAAAAGCAACACTTATTTCTTTTTGTTATTATAGAATTTTGTGGTGATTTTTTTTTCTGTTTTCTTTAAAATGTCTGAAATCATGAAATTCTGAATGGAAACCTCAAAATGAAGTAAAGTACAACTATAGAGACTGAATGTGAAGCCTCAGATTCATGCCCTGGCTCTACTCCCCATGAGCCACGTGACTGGACATGCCACTTAACATTATCCTAGGGTTATCACGGAAATCAAATGAGATACAGGAAAGGAAGCTCTGTCAAGTGTAAAGTCTGTGCAAGTGCAATCACTTCTAGACGTTCCCAATTTTAACACAAAGTTTTAAAGGACTGTTTTAATTTATACCATGTATTCTTTCAATGGGCAAGAACACATTTTAAAAATGGTATTCAAACAAAGAAATACAGCAACTCAGTTTATTATATGCATATTCTTCTGCATTGTTGCTAACAGTTCACTGGTCCAAAATTACTAAAATACTTAAAAAACTATACATTATGTAAACAAAACATAAATAAGACAGTATTGTTCTTTGTACATATATTTAGTACAGATTATTAGGGATTTAAGGAATATGTACAATTTTACACCATAAACTGCATTTTCTTAATGCATAAATATATATATATATATTCTTTTTACAGAAACAAAAATGTCACTAATGACATAGAATACTACTATACTGTAGATACACCACAACAATCCAAATTCAAGAAGAAACATATCAATATAAGTGTGAAAAGGCTAGCTTACTTAAAACAGTCAAACCTGACTTGTTCAATTTATGTTATATAGACAGGTACATCTTGATGACATATTTTGAACAAAAAAACCTTGGAAAACATCCTCACACCAATGAATGAAATAGTATACTTTTTCCTCTCCAATAAAACAAAGTACTGGGCAAGCTAATGAAGGTACATTAAGACACACATCCACCTCCACACACAGACACACATACATGTATAAACAGTATGTTTTCACACAAGTATGAACAATATGTTTTCAACAGTATAATAAAGTTAAAATTTTTATGGGAGTTAAAACAATGCCCCATTATTTAAAAACTGGCTCAGTTGATCTAAATTCAAGATGCAGCTGTGTCAGGCTTCTCTAAACCAGATGACGAAAAAGCTGGGAAGACAGAGGCAAGATTTTGACTAGTAGATACAACTGGAGGAAGAGATGAAGACAATGAAGATACCTTAGCTGCTGGAGTATTTATGGTATTTAAAATGGCTCCTTCTGGGCTGACCAATAACTTTTTGACAGAGGTATCTAAATGAAATACCGATGTGCTACTTGGCAGTGGAGGATTACTGGAGGAAATGGCAGAAACCAAAGATGTTTTAGCTAAAAGAGTAGCTGGAGAGGACTTAATTACTGACGTCAATGCTGCCGGTGGTGCAGGTGGAACACACACATTAGCAGGCGTGTTTACGATGTGTGGTGGTGTATGTACTGTAGAGAGAGAACTTGGACTTCCAAGAGAATTTACAATCTTTGTAGAGTTTCTTACAGAATGCTTTAAAGGCTGTCCACTTAAAGAATTATTTGATGTCTGTATGATCTTCTGGACAGGATTATCTACTGGTGTAGCCAGTATGCTCTGGCCACTGTTAAGAACTAAGGGAGGTCCATATTTTGGATTAGTAGAGATAAGGAGGACATGGCTACCAGCTCCAAGACCTTGCGGCGGAACAATAAACCGGGCTCCATTCATCATGATTTGAGTTCCTGGTGCCAAAGGTGTACTCGTGTTAATGACTATTTTTTGCTGAATACAAGGTTCACTGAATGGAGCACCTGCCAGACTAGTTATATTTGACGGTGGTGAACAAGTGTGAATGGCAGAGCCACCTGCAATAGAATTATTACTGAGAGTTGTTCTTACTAATGAAGGGGACATATGCTGGCTTGGCATAGAAGTAACATTAGAAATATTAATTATTTTACCTGGACTTGGTGAGGGGGATGATAATTCAGCTGGAGGCTTACTTGTGTTTGCATTTGTTGGCACTGTAGTTGTAGTCCCTGGTGACTGAAACTGAAGAGAAGTTCGGGATTGTCTTTTAGAGAGAGATACAGGGTGTGTGGTTCCTGGTACTGTTGCTGACTGTGGAACTGTGTTGACTATTTTTGGAGATGTAGTCACAGGTGTAGGCAAGGCAACAGTCACAGGGATCTGTAAAGCTGATGTCAAACATTTGGGAGACACTGTTGGTTGTGTAGTTGAAATGAGAACAGATGATGCGAGGTGTCCTGTTTTTACAGTTGATATAGCCACAGTGTTTCCAAGATTTGATGCACAAAGTCTATTTGACAAAACAGGCATAATTCTGGAAGAGGTATCATTTCCACTAACTAAAACAGGAGGTCGTGTTCCTACTGAAGCAGGGGATGAGGTCACTGAAAGGGAACTCAAAGGTACATTTGCTCCTATTCCTGAAAATGTATTTGTAGCTCTTGCTGACTCACTAGCAGGAGGAAGATTGTGATTCACAATATTTGAGCTTGCTGGCACTGAGTTACCACCTGGTGAGATGGGGGAGATACAGCCCTTACTACTTTTGTCTTCACCTTTTGGCATTACATTTTGCAATATATTAATTGATGACAGAGCTGGCAGATTTCCTGGAGGATTTATAATTGCTTGACCTATGTTTAGTCCAATTTTCACATCTTTAATCTGAGACACAGTTGGTGAAGAATTTATTTTTATTGGTGCTCCTACTGTAGAGGGAATTAGTACTATCTGGGGTTGCTCTGGATTCTTAATGTATGTTTTATTCAAGGGAGAAGGAAGTGTCTGTTTTAATGATTCTGCAACAATAGTTGAGGATGAAGTGCCACCAGGAACTGGAGCATTAATAAAAACGACTTTCTGGGTAGAAACACCTGGAGAGGTTGGTGCTGGTGCCACATTAACTGAAGACACACTGCCAGAAGGAAGAACAGATGGAGCGGACACCAGCACTAGTTTCTGACCTGGAGTTTCACTGAGCACATCTCCATTTATTGCTGTTGTTGCTTCTGATCTTGTAACTGGGTAACTTTTTGTGATATAATCTACTTGTTGTGGTTTAGTTGATGTATGAATAACATTTGTATTGGATTGCCCAAAATTTCCTGCTGATATGCTAATTACATTAACTGAACTATTTGTTGTTGATGGTAGCAATGAGCTGGAAGAAACAGAGGACTTCAAGGGTGAAGAGGGCATGAATGACGTTTTTTCTATCATGGGGCCCACATAACCACTGCTGAAGGTTTGGCCTAATGTAGATTTGAGATTTTTCCCCATGGGTGGATGAAAGCCACATGAAACAGACACAGATGTAGGTGCTTGGCTGAAAGATGGTAGACTAGATGTAGTAGTCACTCCAGCTACTTGTGAGGAAACAGGGCATGATGTTGATTTTGGCACAAGAAATGCCTGAAATTGAGGTGCAAAGGTGAAAACAGAACTTGAAGATAAACTGTTGGGTGAATTTTGCTCTGGATGAGTTTGTACTTTTACAACTCCAGTGTTCCCACCTCGCGTCCTAACAAGAATTGACTGTGAATCTCTTATACATACAGTTTTTAGTTCTTGCTTTGCCTCAGAAGAATCAACAGTTTGCTGTGAAAAACAGGGGAGAGAACTGCCAGGATCTGGAGATTCATTTAGTGTTGTTGCTGGCAAGAGAGGCTGTGCTGTGGATGAAATGGCAGGTGAAGTATTGCACTGGGGGACTGTGGTGGATGAAACTGTATTCTTGACTTTCTCTGCTTCACTCTGGCTAATCTTCACTGGTGATGTTAACATATTACTTACAGAGGTTACAGGTGACAAAGGCTGTGATCTAGAACTCACATTTGATGAAGGTGTAACTGTCTTATTGAGAACTATATTAGGCAGTTGGGTAGACACAGAGGTGACAGGAACAGATACTAAAGAACAGTTTACACTTGTCATCTGTGGGCAAGGTGAAGAGTGTTCTGGGCCTTTCTGCTGAGGTGGTGCTATCTCTTTTCCAACTGCTTTCCCCTCTTTGTGCTGAATCACAAAATTCTTAGGCAGAATAAGAACTTGCTGCATGATCTTTTCTCCCGTTTTAGAATCCACCATGGGTTGCATCTGAATCTTGACAGAACTACTATGAAGGTCTACTGGCAACCACTGACCACAGGGCATTTTGTACACCATCTGTAAAGGTCCCTTTGTACTCGTGAGGCAGGTCAATGCTGGCTTTATGGGGCTTGTTTCTGCAGGAGATAGAGCTGGCTTTTCCACAGCAGGAGCACTCCTACCTGTGGAAGGGGGCAGTTGATTTGTTAAGGTCACTTTGTTCCCAATATTCTTTGCAAGCAAAGCTTGAATAGGTTTGGTCCCTTTTTGGAGAGGAGACACTGGTACTGAATCCTTTGAGGCAAATGACTCTGGAAATGGCAGTTCTGTAGGCTTTGATTCATTCAAACAGTCAATCTGCATGTCGACATCTAAGTTCTCAACTGATGTCTCATTTGTGCTTAGCTTTGCTTTCTTCCTTGGGGAAAGCTCTTTTGTGCTATCGTCTAGATAACTACTTTGTTTGGACTGTCGTTTAAGTGTTTTAGGCAGTGTCTTCACTATGTCTTTAGAAGGCAATTCTTTTTTCAACAACTTGCTTCTGGCCATAGGAAAGCCTATTTCTGATAATTTCATATCATCTGAAAATTATAAAAACAAGCATTTTGTTTATAGAAAACAGTGACTGAGTAATACGAATTAAAAAAAAAAAACCAAAGTTGTCCTTTGAGCATGTAATTTAAGAAGTCTACTGTACAGACATTTAAAAGCTTCTGCACTACTGAAGAAGGTTGACAAGCTGACTTCCATATCCCAAATACACTTAACAGCAACCTATTACTAGTTTTGGTTTAATCCTGCTGTTTATGTGTGTTAAGGAAAAACTCATCAATAAAAAGTTTAATCTTGCTAGTTTTCTTTCTCTAGATAGGGAAAACTTTATACCATAGAAGAATGGTTGCTATTTTATATTGTCTTTAGGGATTCTAAATGAAAACAAATGTTCAACCTTTCCTGTTTTTTATCCTTAAATAATTTATGGTCATATCTGGTTAGAAGAAGACCACTTTTACAATTCACAAAAGACATGAAATATGTTAACACATCATCACAAGTCTTCACATCATCTTCCTATATAACTAAAGAATGTCACCAGTGAGTTAAAATGAGTCACATACAACTTAATCATTGGTCTAGCTACCCATACTCATTAGAATGATATGTTTACTTTGGTCTCAGTTGGCCATCAACCTTGGCCACACCTCATTTAAAAAAAAAATCGTCACAATCTTAAGGACGTGTCAAATTCATTTACAGCAAACTTTGCCAACAGAACTTTACAAGTAGTAACAATAAAAAGATAATCAATGAATTCCAAAGGGGTAACAGATTAGTAGTGCAGGATCTGTAACAAGCAATGACATACATGTAATTTAGGGTTAGGCATTGGCCCCAGAAACTCTTAAAATTATTAATAATGTCCAAAAAATTGCTTACAAGGATGTGAATAGTATTTCTTTAAAATATCAGAGTTCCTCAATTATATTCACTGACCAGATAGCCTTTTGCCTTCACAACAAAGAGCAAATTCTCTTTATACTTTTATTTAGAAAGCTCGAATGCCTACCTGAATCGTCGTGCTCTTTCTCCAGGTTGTCTAGAGGTTCTGCTGCATCCACAGACTTACTGACTTCAGCTTTAGGAGCCTCTCTCTCAGGGTTCCCTTCACACTCCTCAGTAGTCCATACTTCTCTACTGAACTGACCATGATCAGGTTGTCTTCGGAAATCATCATAGTCTTTCTTCAGGCGGCTCCTGAAATCAACCAAAATAATATGAAGCTTCTGGAAGTTAAATTAATTTAGCATTTTACACTAAATGTTGAAATTCTTTCAATTGTCGTTGAACATTTTTTTGTGTTTTAAGTGTATCTAAATGTCTGTTAATTATCCAAGAAGACAAAATGTATGAGATAAGCTAAGAAACTTAAAGGTTACATCTTTAAGTTTCTGAATAAAGTTTGAACACACCATCTCTCTGAGGGCTGTGGTTAGAACTATTAAAAAAAAAGTAATAGATAAGTAATAGTAATAGATTCTCTATTTGAATTGAAAAATGAGCCTGAGTCACTGGCCTGGGGCCCACCAAGAAGCCTGGCCAACAGGCCCCAGGGATGGACCTGCATGTCATATACATGGTTGATTTGGCATGAGTTAGCAAAGAGTAACTGTGAATTTCCCTTCTTATCTATAAGATTAGAATAGAGAAACATCTATACAATTGTTGAATGCCATCCTCACCCTCGGCTAGTGACTACCTGTATTTCACGGAAGAGAATAACTGGAAAAATATTTCATATGCTCACATCTTATCATCAAATACCTTCATCTGCATTATATTTTCCATCTCTCTACCTATGTGAACACCACCAATTACACGCATCTTCTCTTGTTTAGTTACTACTCTGTTATTCCTCCATTTAATCCAAAACAAATTATTTAAAACCAAAAATTTTTAATGAAAAACCAAACAACTCCAAATGCTTTCTCTGTACCTCAATGTGTATTTCTTGGTGCTACCTTAATTCTCTACTCCATTTTATGGTAGAGGTCACAAAGAGTGCTACAGTTTCTCTCCTAATTCTCTTCTATAGCTTCTTCCTCGACTTACCTAGTTTCTAAGAGACCTTTCTTCCTTTGTTATCCTTGTATCTTACTAAGCATTCTCCCAAAGCCTCTTCTCAAAGTGTCCAGTTCATCTACTTCACTTACAAATGTTGATATGACCTCTGTCCATATAATTCCTACTAATCTCATGTCTTTAAATATAATCAATGTTGGTAACTCCCAAATCTGTCCTCAGATCTAGTAATGCTCCTGAACTGCTTCTTTAACTCACATCATGCCTACGCACCACCACCAAGTTCATGTCTAGAAAGTGTATCAAACTTAACATGTTTAAAATCGAGCTACCCAATCCCTGTCACTTCTCAAACCTGACTCTCCTTCAGTCACTCCTATCTCAGTTAATGGCAAATCCATGATGACAGTTGTCTAGATCAAAACTTTTAGGCATGAGAATTTTACTCATGAATTTCTACCATATTTATTAGCTACTTCATTCACTGCTGGGATAGAATACTTGATAGAAGCAGCTGAAGGAAGGAAAGAGTATTTGTTTCAATCTGAGAGTACATTGTGGCAAAGAAGTTATGGCAACAGGAGCTTGAAATGTCTGGCTGTTGCACTAACCATCAGGAAACACATGAGTGCCACAGCTCAGTTCCCTTTCTCTTGTTTGTTCAGCCCAGGGTCCACTCTATATTTAGGGTGAGCTTTTCTACCTCAATTAACATAATGCAGAAAATTCCTTACAGACTTGTCTGTGAGGTTTGTTTCCATGGCATTTCTAAGTTTCATCAAGTTGATAATGGCATTAACCTTTCACAGACCCCATAACACAATATTTAGTCAAATTTTACCAATCTTACATTGAAGCTATATCTAAATCCCAATCACTTCCTGTCATATATGATACTACAAGCTATTCTTTTTCTTTTTTGGGGGGCGGTAACTACTACACTGTAACTAGTTCCACTGCTCTCATCTTTACAGCTATTTCAAAATGGCAGCTAGAGTAAATGCTTTAAAACTTAAGGACAGGTAGTTGCAGAGTTGGTTCATATGGGTAGAGGTGCCTACTACCAAGATTCAAATGGTAGGAAGGAAAGAATCAACTCCTTTTACATTGTTCTCTGACCTCCACATGTACACCATGGCAAACATGAGCGTAATTCAGGCCATACCCCATACCCCACCTTCACACACACAAAATCAACCAACCAACCAACCAACCAACCAATGTAAAAACAAAAACCAAACCAAACCAAAAAAAACTTAAGGTTAGAGATATAGTTCAGTGGTGTTTCCTTAGCCATATGCAAAGATCTGTATTCAAGTCTTAGCATTGCTAGCAACCAAGCAAGCCCAACAGAGAAGAAAACAACCTGTCTGTTAAAAACCTTTGAAAAGCTTTTCATCTTAGTCCACATAAACTCTTAAATTCCTGACTTGGCTATCCTTACCTTTGTGTCTTTTTTTTTTTTTTTTTTGGTTTGGTTTTTCGAGACAGGGTTTCTCTGTGTAGCCCTGGCTGTCCTGGAACTCACTCTGTAGACCAGGCTGGCCTCGAACTCAGAAATCCGCCTGCCTCTGCCTCCCAAGTGCTGGGATTAAAGGTGTGCGCCACCACCGCCCGGCTTTACCTTTGATCTTTATCAATCACTTTTCTGTGGCTATAAGTGACTTTGTGCTTCCTGTATATACCAAATACATTTCTATATTTAGAGGTTGTGCCCCGTTCTATTCCATTTTTCTCTCTAATGAATATTAGAGCATACACTGACTGAGCGTACATATTAGAGTATGTCTTACGAGTAGCCTTCACAGTCTCAAACAAGAACTTCAGAGTCTCTTCCTCATGCTCTTTCCCACTAGCATTTATCACATTTGAATCTGTATACTTCTTCCATTAGAAAGTAAACCACAGAGATGTTTTTGTATTTGCTGAATTACAAATGAATGGAAAGAAACCTAAATGATTTTATTACATTTTCCCAAAATCATAACTGGGGAATTAAAATAAGTTTTATACATCACAAAGCTTGTTACCTGTTTCTCTGAAAAGCCTTCATTAACTTTGGTTCCCATGGTAGCAATTCATTTAAAAGACGTATCAGTGTACTATGTAATTCTTTTACAGCTTGCCTCCGATGGTACCATTTGCCCTAAAAACATAATTTTAAGAAGTAAATTCCTTAATCAATGTCAATTAAGTTTTATCCTCTAATAAAAATATAACAAAGTGCCAATAATCCATCAAAAATATTTCTTCCACAAAAGTTTACAAAAAGAGGAAATATTTTGTAAGAAATATGAATATGTTTAATGATCTCAATTCTATACTGGAAAACCCAAACACATCTTATATAAGTAGAAAAAACAAATTTAAAAATGATCTAATTATGTTAGTTGTAAATACCATTTAGTAAATGTATGTACTGTCTTGGGTTTAATCCCCAATGCCAAAGTAGAAAAAACCCTACCAACCAAATAAACAAAACAATGTAAAGGCACAAATATTTAAAATATATTCATTAAATAAATTTGGTTCATATTGTAAAGTTGTAACTTCTAAGAGAGAAAAAGAGACTTAACAAACTTTCTTAAGAATTGTTCCAATGATTTTAGTAGTTTCTAGCATAGAAAAGTAACTAAAGCAGTTAACTGTTGCTTATTTTCTCTGTGTTGAGATGTCTGTCTGTGTGTGCATGTGCAGGAGGATGCAGAGAGCAGAGGAGAACATTAGGACACAAGTCCTCTTCCTTCTAAAGCAAGCATTCCTACCCACTGATTACCTTCCTAAAACCAGTCAACTAGTTTTTAAAGTCTACACCACTACACTAAAATTAATTATTACTGATGTTCCTCTTATTTGCTAGTATTACAGGTATTTTCTGTTCCCCTTTCCCCCTCCCTTTCCCTCTCTCTTCATTTATGTACACTGTATCTTTGTACACAATATCTATGTGCACCCACATCTGCTTGATTCTGACGTCCAAGTTCTTAGAACTACAGGACTGCAACAAAGACTGGGTGTGGTAGAGCACGACTTTAATTCTTGCATTGGAAAGGAAGCAGCAGTTGGCTCTCTATGAGTTTGAGGCCAGGCAGGGCTACATAGTAACATAGTGAGATCCTGGCTCAAGACCAGAAAAAAACAAAACAGGGAAATAAAAAGCATCAAATAAACTCATATGATGTATCTTACAGAAATCTTAAGTAAAGATATACTTCATCAACATATATAGAATCTTCTGGTCATTACAGGAACAATACACTTAAGCACAGTCCTTACCTATAACATTCGTGCATCATATAATTCATATGGATTATTTCTAACGAAAGACACAACTATATATTATAGATCACATTTAACACATCTAAAATCAGACCTCATTCTATAAACAACTGTTGAGTTAGTCTGTCCATATATAGAAATATCTATAGCAAAGGTATATTCTAAAGTTATACATGGAGTTGCCAATTTTTTATATATACACACATGTACATACACAAAACCTTCACTATTTACAATGACAATTCTGTAACTTTATAACATAGTCATTAATAGTACAGCTTGACCAGAAAGTTTCAATACTTTGAAGCAATAGAATATATGTTTAAAAAAACACAAACAACTATATTTCTTCCAAGGTTTTTGAATCTTTTTTAAAATTTCTTTTTTCATTGGTTATTTTATTTATTTACAATTTATTTACAAAAGTGTCCCCCTTCCTGGTTTCCCCTCTGCAAATCCCCTATCTCACCCCCACTCTCTCTGCCTCTATAAGGATGCTTCCCCACCCACCCACTCACTCCTGCCTCACCACCCTAGCATGCCCCTACACCGGGGCATCCAGCCTCCACAGGACCAAGGGATTCCCCTCCCACTGATGCCAGATAAGGCAATCTTCTGCTACATATGCAGCTGGAACCATGGGTCCCTCCATGTGTTCTCTTTGGTTGGTGGTTTCATCCCTGGGAGCTCTGAGGGAGTCTGGTTAGTTGATATTATTGTTCTTCCTATGGAGGTACAATTCCCTTCAGCTCCCTTAGTCCTTCCCCTAACTCTTCCTTCTATTGGGGTTCCAGTCTGATGGTTGGCTCCAGCATTGGCATCTGGAGTATTACTCAGCTATTAAGAATGACTACATGAAATTCGCAGACAAAAGGATGGAACTAGAAAATATCCCGAGTGAGGTATCCTAGTCACAAAAGAACACACATGGTATATACTCACTGGTAAGTGGATATTAGCCCAAAAGCTCAGAATACCCACAATACAATCCACATATCATGTGAAACTCAAGAAGAAGGAAAACCAAAGTGTGGATGCGTCAGTCCTATTTAGAAGGGGGAACAAAATAATCACAGGAGGTAGAGGGAGGGAGAGACCTGACAGGGAGAGAGACAAGGGGGAATACAATGGGGGGGGCAGGATCAGGTGTAGGAGGAGACAGGGGAGAAGTACAGAGGGTCAGGAAATTGAACGGAGGTAGCAGTAGGGCATGGAGGACTGGGGACAGCCACTAGAAAGTTCCAGATGCCAGGGACACAAGAGGCTCCCAGGACCCAACAGGGATGACATTAGCCAAAATACCCAATGAAGGGGAGAGAGAACCTGTAGAGACTATATCCAGTGGATAGGCACGGCCCCTGGTTGAGGGATGAGACACCTACTCATCTCAAAAATTTTAACCCAGAATTGTACCTATCTAAAGGAAATGCAGGGACAAAAAGTGGACCAGAGACTGAAGGATCCACCTAGGGATCCATCCCATCTGCAGAGAGCAAACCCAGACACTATTGCTGATGCGAGGAAGTGCTTGCCAACCGAAGCCTGGTATAGCTGTCCCGAGAGGCTCTGCCAGAACCTGACCAATACAGATGCGGGTGTTTGCATCAGACTGAGGTTTTTGAATCTTAAAGGGAACTACTTATTAGAAGAGTAAGAAGAGGTAGGGTTATATGCTGTAGATACACCAAATTTGAACCTTATGCTAACTCATGTCTAAAAATGATATATTTTATGTGTATGAGTGTTTGCCTGCATGTATATAAATGCACCACATGTGTGTAATGTATGTGAAGCCAAAGGAAGGAGTAGGACCTCCTGGAATTGAGTTACAGGTGCTTGAGCACCTCTTGTAGGAGGTGGTAAATGAATACAGACAGGTCTTCTGCAAGATCAATTAACCGAGGTCAGCTAATATGGGATTTCCTACAACATAATGATTCTCGACCTTCCTAATGGTGTGACCCCTTAATACAGTTTCTCATGTTGTAGTGACCCCAACTATAAAATTATTTTGTTACTACTTCATAACTAATTTTACTACTGTTATAAACCATAATATAAATATTTGATATGCAGATGGCTATGTGACTCCTGTGAAAAGATCATTTGACCTCCAAAGGGGCTGCGACCTACCGATTGAGAAATGCTACTATAACTAAATAGTCCTGTTTTCTTTTCAAATGTATTTTAAAAAAAAGTTCAAGTGAGACCCAAGTAAGCAGTGAGTTATACCTTAAAATCAAACTTTTCTCAAAAGAACTGGTGACATAATATGAGGTGGTTATTCTAATCCATGAAAAGCAAAAAACCTGTTAAACAGAATAAGAAACAGTATTCATCTAGGGCAACCACATTTCTTTTGGCTTGGAGACAGGATCTCACTATGTTAACCCTTTGACTTATTACGTAGCTCAGGCAAGTCTCTAACTTTTGAGCTTTCTGCCTCAGCCTCCCAAGTGTTGGAACTACCGATGCCAATCTTATATTCAGCAACAACTTAGTGGAAAATGAAATGGTGAGAGAACAGAATAAAAACTTCCTTAAATTTAAGGAAGAAAGTTAAAGATGAAAGTAGAAAGAATATTCTCTCTGTGGTATAATTCATTATCAAAAGGATTAAAAATCTTAAGAGAAGTAGTGGGGATCACAAGAAAAAAGGGATGCCTGCAGAGCTAACCTGGCTTGTACAGCTGCTGCTTGGATTAGCACAGCGGTTACAGGGTGGGAAATGCAGACGACATCAGTTAGGTCTGTACAGATGAGGAACAGGAAGGGTAGAGTATATATCTGGAAATCTTTATATCAAGACACTGCTGTAGTGGTGTCTGTGTTAAATTACTAAATTAATTTCTGCAGTATAAGAGTTTAAAAACGACTAAGAAGATTTTACATTTAATTTTGATTAATTTTAAATTAAGTAACATCTAGAAAATATACTTCTTAATTAAAAGACTACAAGGAAGGGAACGTAAATGTTTAATCAGAAAACAGATTTATAACTTTCATACAACTGCCTTACCCATTAACCTGTTTTGAAATACTTATGGTCTTCTACCATAGAAAATTAATAAAGTGTGTAAAACTATAAAAAATAAAACATCTCCAGTGAAAGGAAACTTGTACACTGCCATGGGAATGTGAATCTATAGTCTTGAGGTGATTAAAGAGCAGAATCATCGCACGCATTGGCATTTAAGGTAAGTTTTCACTCAACTTCTCAGATGAGAGAACTCAAAGCTTCATGTGTCCTCTGGTTAAAACATGATGCTGACAATCCGAAAGCAATTAAATAATATCATTTTGTGTCCCATATCACTGGTGCTAGGGCCTGAGTTCTGAGCCTTGCACTTTACTGCCAAGTTTCAGTCCCAACATGGTTGCTCTCTATTGAGTGGTGACTTCACTTTCACAGTGCACAGTGGAACTATTACAAAAAGCATAAACATTATTCATTTTTACGAGGAATTAGTAACAATATACCTTTGGGCCAATATAAATTATTTACAGCAAATCAAACAGATTAACTTCATTGATGAGAAAAAAACCAATTTTGATATTTCTTCCAAGATGGATTTATTAAAACTTGAAAGGGCATGCATGCCTTTCTAGAAGGATGTTGTCTAAAGTCACCTTGGGAAATACTTGTAAAATGGAATTGACTTCAGACTAAGATTCGGCATCTCACAAATGTTAAAATCCACTTTGTTTTTTAGACATCATGCTGTCTCTGCTGGTCTCTGAAAAGTCAAATCCTAAATAATTATAAATAGATTATATTGTGCAGACACTTTTGCAAAATTAAAAGCATAATAGTAATTAAAATAGGGACATATTTTAAAACTGAATTTAAAGCGGAGGAAACATCAA